TTCGTAACGTCAATGTTAGACCGCAACATTTTCACAAATTCATCACCTATTTTTTTTATCTGTCCTTCTAACGTCACACAATCTTGGACACAACTGTTCTGGACACGACTACTCATGCCCTCACCTAATACGCCATTTTGTAACGACGTAAAAATGTACGATTTTTTATTATATAGATACAGTGTGTCTCATATTTTTTGTTTCTAGGATTTGTAAAGGTCTATATACATATCAGTTTATCCAAAAATAATGATGAAGGAGACTGGGTATTGCACAAAAAGCAAGAGCAAGGTCAAGATGAAGACCAAGCATTTTTTACGTTTGTTTGATATAAGAAACTGCATATTTCGTCAAAATTATTGTTTTTATTTATTACAAATACTGTTTTCCCGACTATTGCATAAAATTTTGATAAAATACATGCCCATTCGCTATAATATATTGAAAAATTACTATATGCTAGTGATGGGCAAAACTGTTATTTTTAGATAACAGTTGAAACTGTTATAGTTATTTATAAAAAACAGCTTAAAATAACAGCTTAAAAATAACAGGTTTCTTTATTTTACTACTAAATATCTGAAAGAGTATGAGACGGTCATCGCCAGGCATATTAACGCAGTTGCAAGTTGCAACAATGACGTGCTCGGTGGTAGTATTTCCAGGGTGTCAAAACATTTCTAAATATCGATTGTTATCTAAAATACCTCTCTAAAAAACGGTGGTTATTTACAAATAAGCGCTGTTTACAAATTGCGATATAAAAAGCCAAAATTCGGCCACTCGTCTATAGTATATACCTACGCCCTGCCCCTCGATCCGCGTAGATCCTGAATTGCGTAGCAGTGTACAGGGTGCATCTCACTCGACGGGCGAGAAGCTCTTAGTTATGATTTTACCATTTGCGGTCAAAAATAGCAATATAAGAAAATGTGTAGTATATTCTTCATAAGTAAACCAACTACACACTAGAGTTCGAATTACTTTTACACTTAAACTAGCGTGTACCCGCGACTTCGTTCGCGTCGAATTAATAATTTCTAATGGTGATGATAAAGCAAAACAAGAATTTCCATTAACATACAAACTGGATAAAATTTTCTCACATTTGCCAAAAATAAGCTTTCTAACGTCGAGCAGATTAAGCAGAATCGTGGTTAATCAATTACTCAACTTTTGGAACACCCTGTATGATTTTTTAAAAATTTCAAAATATGTAAAAAAAAAAAAATAAATTATGCGTGTCCAGGCGTTTTCCCGAAAGACTAACCGTTTTTAAATAACAAATATTGTAATATTTGAGGGGCGTTTTCACCCTGTTGGAATTTGAGATTCGAGAAACCCCTCCTTATCGAACCTCAACCCCACAGTCAATCCGTTTGAAAAAATCAGCTTTAAACGTCCAGCAGTTTAAGCAGAATAGTGATTACTCAATGGTCATATTTTATGAAACACCCTGTATATATTTTTAAAAATCTTAAAATATGTTAAACAACATATTAAAATATACGTGTTTTAAGAGTTTTTCCGAAAAACTCACCGGTTTTTAAATAAAAATATTCTTATATTTCAGAGTAGTTTCACCCCCTTAGAATTCGAGTTTCGAAAAATCCCTTCTTATCGAACCTCTACACACTAAAGTCAATCCGTTTTCCAAAAATCAGCTTTTTACGTCAAGGGCTTTAAGCAGAATCGTGATTAATCAATGACCAGATTTTTCAAAACACCCTGTATACATTTTTAAAAAATCTTAAAATATTATTCTGAAAATTTTTCAGAATAAATATATACCTAAATATTGAAACTTAATAAGTAAGTACTGAAACATAGAGCGCCATAATATCTCGACCTCCGTCCGTTATGCTTGTAACAGGTTGAAACAGAATGTATCTAAAACAACTGATGCGTTATTCCCCAACCTGTTTCGAACCTCCATCGACAATCGACCGATGCAGCAGCGTTCCTTTCCCACACCTATTATCTCGTCCGCCGCCCTGTTATGCTTGTAACAGGTTGAAACAGAATGTATCTAAAACAACTGATGCGTTATTCCCCAACCTGTTTCGAACCTCCATCGACAATCGATCGATGCAGCAGCGTTCCTTTCCCACACCTATTATCTCGTCCGCCGCCCTGTTATGCTTGTAACAGGTTGAAAAACAACATATCTAAAATGACTGCTTCTCCAACCCGTTGCGAGCCTCCATCGACAATCGACCGATGCAGCAGCGCTCCTTTCCCACTCCTGTTATCTCCACCGCCAGGCGTTATGCCCACAACTGTTTCAAAAAACCTGCTTCTTTTATATCCTATTATTTTTAAGCTGTTGTAAATACGACCATTGACGGTATCGACCGAAGCAGCTACGTTCGCCGTAGCGCTTTCCCCACTCCGTTGTCCGTTGTCTCGCCGCCTGTATCGATGGTTGACGAAATAACATGTTTTCCATCCATACTAGTTGTTTTTTGGAATTGCTTCGAGCAGCATAGAATTTCGTGGTGATGCAGAGCGCCGACTTCGTTTTTCCTTTCACGAGCGGCCGATCTCTACGTGTCGTTATTTTATATCTGTTATTTTTTAAAAGTAGTAACGGTTGCGTTATGTTATTTATAAATAATTGTTATAAAATAACAGATAGTTAAATAACAACCCATCACTACTATATGCACAGTACACTCGCTTTTTTGAGACAAGTTCATATGCTAGACGTCTAGGAATCTTATGTTTGCCAGCTTTTCAAATTTATAATAAACGTACATCTAAGTGAATGGACTGTATGAAGAGGATTAAACGAATCTAATCTTATGTTAAGATGGCCTGCTTCGGGACCACAACTTACTAAGTCTCTGGACTTGGACCAAAAGCAAACGTATGGTTTTAATGTAAAAATTCATACAGTGTGTCTCATATTTTTGGTTTATAATATTTTGTAAAGGTCTGTCATACATATCGGTTCCGCCAAAAATTGTGGTTGCAGATCAAAACTAACACTAGCGTTTGATTTGCAAGACCAAGACCAAGACCTACAAGTGCAAGACTTCTACAAGACCAAGACCATACATACAAGAATTGGTCTTAGTTACCTATAAGAAATTACTTATTTCTTCCAAATTATTGTTTTATTTATTACAAGTAGTGTTTAAGATAACTATTTGTTTCACGCAAAAAATATTTTTTTAATTTATTACTTTTTCAACATTTCAAACTACTCTTTTTCAAACATGTCCTTAAAATCTTTCAATTTAATAGCTGACATATCTACATTCCTTTTAGTTTTCGTTAAACCAAAAGATAGAGAAAGAGATAGACTTTTTTACTGGTCTGGAAATGAGTTATCTCTGATTTTCCTTCGATTAAATCTTCATTACAAGTTCCATTTTTCCTTTGTAGAAAGAATCGATGTAAAATTTCAGCTGACTTGTAAAATTCAAAGAGGATTTGAAACTCTATAATTATCTTTTATAAGTTAAAAAAAAAATTTTTAAAGCCACGTCTTTGTCCAATTTTTCGTTTATCTCTCCTAAATAAAAGCACGCGGCAATTCTACTGGCTGAAAATGAATAAAACTTATTTTTCCTGTTTTCTTTTTAACGTTTTTAATTGAGGTTTTCCACGCCGAAACGTTTTTCATTTGTGAAAAGCGAAAGAAACGTGCGGGAAACTCAACAGTTTTAATTTGTTCTACTTAGAGCCGTTTTCCGAAAACCTGAGTTTCTAATTTAATTTTGTTTTTTCTTATTTTTGCAGAAATAAAATTCAAAGGCAAACGTTATAATCACCGGCACGAAAAATAGACACCTCCAAATTTTGAGGTATATTTTAAAATTTAGTTTATTTTTAACCCCCCATCTTCAATTCCCATCTGTCAATTATACGAGGAAAAACAAAATGTTAATATTTCGATGAAAGTTTAAAACAACCTGTGGAATATGTTAAGGCAGCAAGGAATTTAAAAATAATTTTATCATCTAGGTAAATAATTCCTCAGTAGTTTGTTTTTTGGTTCGTCTCAATAACTTTACTTTTTTCGGCGACGTGCGCTTTGAAAGAAGGCACTAACATTTTTTCTCAATTTTTACATTAAAGTCCAGAGACTTAGTAAGTTGTGGTCTCGAAGCAGGCCATCTTAACATAAGATTAGCTTCGTTTAATCCTCTTCATACAGTCCATTCACTTATACTAAGGGCTGGCAAAGGTTAGTCTTGGGTCGAGATCTAGCTCAAGCCCCCCCCAATATTAAGGTAATATTGATTTTGGGATAATACCAATTTTAAAGAAACATTGACTTTTTGTTCATAATATCTTTTTGTTTTTTATTTAATGATACCATAAAATTAATACTTAATCTTAATCTTAACCAATCTTTATTATGTACAGTGTGGGTCAAATTCGACGCTTTTAAAAAGGAGCACCCTTTTCTATAGGTTATAGGCTTTTTAAAACTTCGCCACTTTTAACCAGTAGATAGGTTTTGGACCCCTTATTGATGATCTGCCCCTAATGGAACTCAAAAACTTTCAGCAAAACGAGGCATCGCCTCAGAACGCTGAAGTTATCACACATTTTTGCAGCCAATTTCGAGAATAATGAATAGCTAACCAAGATCCCAGCCATTGGCCGTCGAGGCCGCCGGACTTTTCTGTTTGCGAAAGAATAAAGGTTCTTATTTTCAAATTGCCCAAAAAAAAACCGGCGTTAGCGATGGCTATGAAATGAAGATCGTCATTTTATATGGGAAATGTCATCCACCGTCATTTGCCAGCCAACTGGACGCCATTTTTTTTCGATCATACGATAGTTTAATCTCTCATTGCAAATAATATTCTCGTTTTAATTGCTGCTCACAGCTATAATTTTTTTGCATTACAGTCGGCACCGTTCAAAGCCTACTAACCCCAGTAGCACACCAACATTGGTAAAATAATATATTTATATATTGGCCCAATAAAGAAAAGGCGAGATTTTTTTTTAATGGTAAAATATAGCATTCATATATTTATCCTTTGTTAAAAATCGATATTGATCCAATATGGATATTTAATATTTATCCTATATTTGCTATATTTATAGACATAATGTGTTTTTTCAATAATGGTCCAACATAATTTACATATATTTTTCCATTTTGTTTCGCAAATCTTGGACCAATATTTAGTCTGTACATTGAATCTATGTACATACCACATAATCAAGATTCGGAATAGGAAACTCCCTGGAAACTTTTTATTGTCACTTGATATCAAAATATCAAGATAGTTCGAAAAGTCAAGGCATTTTATGCAAGTTGTTGTATGTTTTATATATACAGTGGAACATTATTTTCGAATGAGAATGATATATATTATATAATATGTTTTAAAAATAAAAGAAATATAAAAAAAAATCTGCACTTCTTTGTAACCAATATGTTGTATAGATTCGGGAAGTAAATATTAGGGAAAGATTCAATAAAACGTTACATCAATAAAAACAATATATTGCTATATAAAATAAAATAATGAAAAATAAGCTGTTATCCTGATAATAAATAAAAAAACGAAAAATATTTTTCTGTTTCAAAATAACTGTATATATTGGGCATTTCTGTTTTTACGTCTTCCTTCCCTGTCTGCTGCTCCTGTCAAATACAAAGATATGGATTTGTTAATACCTGCATCCGTGGCGCCTGGAAAACGAACAGCTTCTATGAAACACAAAGCAAAATTTTGTTAATTGCAATTTATTACCAAAACAATTTAAAATTTATACTTATAATAGCCTTACATGACAACTTCTGAAATGATAATTTTTCCTTCTTTCCTGATCCAGAATAGAGCATTGCTACATCTCTGGCAAACAGTTTTTTCATTAATAAAAAAACAGATTTGAGGGTATTGTCCCCTCCACAAAGGTATAATCGTTGAGCCTAAAATAAACAATTTGATAAGCTTTACATTTTGTTTCTCATACGAGTATAATCTGCAAATAATTATTATTACCAAAAGTTCAATATTTTTTTCATCTTCTAAATGCTGCTCTATAGATTCTAGTAAAGCCTGGTTCTCAATTGGTAGTTGAAAAGGTTCTTCACTAGAACTTAATATTAATCATGCTAATTGTGAGCAACAGGTCCTGAATCTTGTTTACTGTTTTTTTCATATCCTGTATTTCCCAATTCAACTTTTTTATTTCTTTTAAGATCAATCTCTCAGAAGCTAAAAATATACATCAAACGCCCAAGTTATCTTGGTTCAAGTAGGTATTTCTACAAAATATAAGTGATCTTCATCAATATATGTTACCTGTTAAAGCTACTGACGGCTCAAAGGGACTTGCGTCTAATTCCCTTTGACCATTGTTCAAAACCGATGGTGATTCAGCCATACAACGTACTTTTGTTTTATGATACTTAAATTTTCTTTAAATAAAGATTTCATTTTGATTGGAGTAAAATCTCTTTTTTGTAGTTCAGTGATAATGTATTAAATATGTTTAGGTTAGGACGTTTTAAATTATGTAAATAATTATTTACATCTAATATGGTCTAAATATTAAATAATCAAATGTAAAAACGTGAAATATCTAGGAAACCAATAGGTTCACCATACTTGGAACCGCGCGATTTTAAAATGCTCCAGAACTTTGCTAACTCGATTCTATATTTAGCCAATATTGGCCCAACGTTTCCATTTACCTATGTAAAAATATGAAAAATATTGACATTAATTAAACATCAGGTTTATTTCAACAGTTTTCACAATTCAAGTGAGAATTGATAGGTACGGCTATTATTTTAGGTTTTTATTTACTTCTAAATTGTCTGGTAGTTGAGTAAATGTTTAGGTTAGGATGCCTCTTACAGGAAATATCTACTAGTCTACATTTAAAAGTTGTTGAAATAAAGTACTTACCAGTTCACCTTTACTTAAAATGATCCAAATTACACTGCACACAAATAGATAAATCACAAATTATTTACTTAAACCGTTAAATTCTACGTAAAATGGTGTTTTGGAAATGTTTTCATAAAAATACAAAATTTTCCATATCAAAAAAGTTACAGAGATACACCCCATAACTCCGAAACGGTAACAGATATCGATATGCGGTTTTGACCATCATGCTTTTGAAAAAAATTGGGCTCCAGACACCGATATTAGTTTTCGTCTATATATCCTATCGAAAAAGGTGTTTTCCTTTAAAAGCATCCAATTTGACCCACCCTGTACGTACACTTAATTTAAGGACATTTTTTAGATTAGGAATTTCAAACTAAAAAACTTAAAACTGATATTCTACCAAAGGACATTAGTCTTTAGTAGAATCAAAGATAACATAGTAATCTATGTAATATAGTTTACTATTGTTATCTGTGGTAGAATACACTAATAATTTTCGTACAATACACTAACTTAAATTAAGAACATTCTTGTAATTGTTTTTTCAAACGTTACAATAGTATTACCGCACCATATATCTGGGAGGGCTAATTTTGAGTCTGGGGGGGCTAAGCCCCCCTAGCCCCCCTCTAGTTGCGCCTCTGTATCTCTTCATGCTAAAAACGCAAAAAAACGCTTTCTGTGTGGTCGTGCACTAAGGTAAATAAACACATATTAAGGAAACAAATCTCTACATCTCAAAAAAATCTATTTCTAATCGATCAGTTATCGATCCTCTATTGTTTCTCTTCGATTATTAATTATTTTTATTAAAATTAATAGAAGATAAAAATAGGATATCCCGACGAAACGCGCACGTATCGTTTTGAGGCTTCATTATCTGACACAAAACAACATCCATCACAGGGGAGTTTATTTAATTGTGGTCTAGAACAATAAATCATGCCAGACTCGTTCAGAATGCTGGAAATTGTTCTTTCTGTGTTTCCACCACTTAGCCGATACGGTTTTCCTGTTTTCCAGCGTTTTTTCTTTTAAATTTTCCACAGGTTTCATCAAAAATTCCGATAGGAAATATCCAGTGCTTATTGTAATCGAAATAAAAGAGCCAAATATACAGGGTGGTCCGAACTGTATTAGATAAAGAAATATAAAATTAAGTAAAAAAGTTGGTATAAATGTATGTCCTAAAATGTTTAGTTTCGGAGATACAGGGTGTAGAAGTTTCATTTTTATTTCGATTTTTTGGATGAAAGTTGCTGTCTGGTAGTTTTTTGACATATTCTAAAGGACTGTTCGATCGCGTCAAATCGCCGCTGTCGTAGTCGCCGTGGAATGCTACGTCACGCGCTGACCACGCGCTCCACAGTGCGGCGGATGGTTATTCTAGCGGGACAAAATCTCAAGAGCAATGTTTGGGACTTAAAATCTAAGAACGTAGCAAATGGTCTAATATATAGCAACTATATGGTTAAATTTATTTATTTATTAGCAACTTAATTTATTAATAAATAAATACAAGATAATAAAACGATATGATATTATTCGTACATGATACACAAAAACCGTATTGTAAACTATTGCCAAATACATAAAATTATGATATCAAAAAACTCTTTAGCAGTTATTTTTAAATTAATTTGTAATCTTGTGACACCCTCTATAATTTATTTTAAAAAAATATATTTTATTTTGAAAATAATAAATAAGATAGATATTTTAATTTTAATTTTAACACTCGGTAATTGTAAATTCATATATTAAGTATCTAAGACAATTTTTTAAACTCAGTGCCTTTTGATGGAGTTGTTTTGTTTTTATACTATCCGATTGAAATGAATCTTTTTGGGCATTCACCTGTTAAGCTTGAACTCCCTGTGACTGCGACTACCTGTGTTGGTAACTATTGGTAACTCAAAAGATCTACATCATTCAATATATCGATATTTGAAAAAAAAGTGTAAGTTTGATATCTGCAGAACAAAGGCACGAAGGATTTTAACAAATAATATACATACAGTAGAAAAGTACATACCTTTGGCAATCTTCAACATAATTTGGCTTTCTAATAAAATGTATAAGCATTTGTAAATATTTTGTTTTCGTATGATCTCTGCCTTGCTGAGCAGAAAACGACCAAATTTGGTTGATAAAAATGTATCGAAATACAAAGAATATTCATGCATTTTTGTATCAATTGGAATGTCTACTATTTATCCTTATCAGTACACATTTTTGGCTTATTTCTAACCAAACGCTTTTGTCCCGCTAAATCTATCTTCCAACGCACTGTGCGCTCGTCCGTCAAATGCAAAAATAACTGTCACTGTCTAAAATCTTTAGCGCCAACTTCAACTCGGTCAGTAGATGACGTAAAATAACTGACAGTGCAGGAAGATAGGAATCGAACTATCCTTATCTCTATTGTATCCTTGGGCGCCACCTACATTTGTTTTAACTGTTTTGAAAAGTAATAACTTTTTGTCTGTACCTGTATAAAACTACTGAGTGAAAAACTGCAGAATATGCTGCCGAAGTTTCCGGAATACAGTCCGGACCACCCTGTATATTTCGCTACATATTTAATGACGATAATTGAATTGAATTAAAGAAACATAATATTTATATATATATATATAACTCGTTTCACAGTCATATTTTTCATCTAACATCGATACTTAACACTATTAAAAAGAATTTATATTTAAACGTGTAATATAAATACATGCTATTTTTTCTGTTTCAGATATATTGCTGGAAATTCATCTGAACTGTCAGATGTAGTTTGTTCGCGAACTATTCTTTGAAGTCACTGGACAGCAGATTATAAACAGGAGAGGATCCGGATTGTGGATAACACGCAGGTTAGAATCGACACGATCTTAAATCAAAATCTGTCGTTTTCAGACAATTTTTTTTTGTTCTCTGGTAATAAATCTTACGGGAAATAGTTTTTTTTCTAGTTAAGAATATAAACAGGGAAAATACTTTTTTTTTGTTAGAGGTATTATTTTTTTTCCAGATATACCGGTGGGCGTCTCAAAAGTGGCTCACCCCTATAACTTTTTTATTTTTTTAGATAAAAAAACGAGATTTGGTATGTTACTTTGAATAAGAAGACTAAGGAAGGAGCATATCAAAAATCTTAGGTACACCGCGATGGGCCTCAAATATGGCCGACTTAAATTCCGGTTTATCAGTGTCGTTCTAATTTTATTTAAAAAAAAAACTGTAAAACTATGATGTAGGGTAGACGTGGGTAAACTCAATAATTTGTTGTTTTTATTTTACGTTGTGAATAAATGTTGGTAGTTATTAAAATTGTTATAAAAATATATAATTCAAATAAAAATAGATAAGTTATAATAAGTATTTATTAACACAAACATCCGATACGCTACTGAAACAGGTAAGTCAAATTAACGTATCTAAATTCTTTGACATCTAATCTTTGACAAGTAATAAATAAAAAGCTAAAAATGCAAGAAAATATATAATTTATTAATTTAAGTGAATTTCCTAAATAATCGGTTTACTACACGTATGTATATTATATAGTCACTTACTAGCGAAAAGTTGTTTCACTCAATTTTTGCCGAGATCTACCGCACGCTAAACAACCAACTATTTTAGAGTCTTTTTCGATAAATCGCGATAGTGTCACTGTTAATTTATGTTCTGCCACAATTTCCATCTAGATTTACTACCTTTATACAACTATCAGTAGTAGAATAAATAATAAATAACATAAAATAAGCTCCGTAAAGACTGACAAATCCACAAAATTTCAAATCAAATTCAAATGTGTCAAATGAATCGTCAAACAGAACTGTCAAGGATCCCCACCCTAGAGAGCTTTTATGGTGGCTTTTCCGCCCACCATGCATGAATACATGGATAGCATTATGCTCCTTCCTTAGTCTTCTTATTCAAAGGTATGTTGGTATATGACATAAATTAGGATTTATTGATATATTCAATATTGTTTTTGGTCACTTCCTGTTTGATCGGAAATGACTACAAATTTTACTTTTTTAATGACACCCTCGTTTTTTTTAAATGTTTCTGACTTTAAGAAACAATGGCTGCATGGTAAGTTTAAATGTTCCTAAAAAGTATTAAAAAATATGTGACTCAATGACTCGACCGATTTTCAAAAACGAGGCGGGAAAATATAGAGAATAGAAAGCTCTTTTCATTGCGGCGCCACTTGACTCCCCTTCCCATTTGAAAAAAGTTGGGGGATGACACCCTCGCTCAGAGGGTTGAAGATTTTGTAATCATTTTTGGGGCAAAAGATGTCCCCCTCACAAACAAAATCGACGTGTTTTTGGATTTTTTGAAAAAAAGAATAACCTAGCCGTTATGCCTTGCGGAACGTTTTCGATGGGCCACCCTGTATATCTAGACCATCTGAATGTATTCAACTAGCAAAGTGAAATATATGAACCCAAGCTCTACTCAGACTGTGTATTATTCAATCCCTAAA